ATTAATTAATTAGGGAGATAAGTTGAGTTGGAATACTCTAGAATAAGAATACGTGGGCTGTAGAGACATGACTAGGAAAACAAATAGTGGGAGGTGGCTTAAATGTTTCATGCAGACTAGTATGTTTGTAATTCCAGCAAACTTGGAGATCCACCTAAGGTTTGACATGTCATGACTTGGTTCTTAGCTATCTAAATTAAGGTGCAGCGCTTGTAAGCACTTTTGCATTTGAGGTGGCAAGTGCAGGTTAAATCTTTTGAGTTGGTATTGACACATCTTGCATCAACTAGGTGACTAAGCCAATAGGTGTTGCATGCATAGTATTAGTTCTCCTCATCTTTACATGCCTGAGCTTATAGAAGAACTAGATAGGTCCACGGTTTCATCCTTGCCGTCACACCATCCAATCAAAATAGGTTGGTAGCCGCCTCTGTTTGGTATAAATAGGAGCTTTACTTCGTTGTTTGTGGAGTTTGAAAAATAAGGCAGCATGCAATAAGAGTTCACCTAGATTATATATGTACATATGTATGCGCGCGCGCTTAGGTGCGTTTTCCCAAATAGGAGCTTTACTTCATTGTTTACTTAGCCGTCCGTTTTCCTAAATTCCATTGTTTTAGTAGCTTTTTACTGATTGGTCTTTTTATGTGTTTAAGTGTGTTTGTTAGTGGCAATTCCATCCTCCTTAACTTGAACGGTTCTTCAATGATGAAGTATATGTGAGCGGATCTCTTCCTAAATGCATGATTTTAATACTAGAAATGCATACATGAAAAGCATGATTTCATGATTTACGTTTTGTGAAACGTTTATGAATTATTGAATTTACGTTCATTGAAATATTTACAAATATGGTTTATGAAGATCTTTTGAGTTAGAACGCTCCTATGGATTTAAGATATGATGCTTTGAGCTTTTAAGCTCCAATGATATGATATGAAAGTTTTGATTTATGTTTTTTGTGCTTACTTAGTGGGTAATTATACAACACATACACCCAACACGAGTGCGTACCTATCTATGGCCATATGACCAAGTTTACGCATATTGAGGTACCTTATGATTATACTCCCAGCTTCAGTAGTCCAGGCTAGTGTCGGTGTGATATGTTTTATTTCTTCTCAGGCACAACCTAGAGTCGTACAGCTTCACCTTCAAGCAATGGACAATATTTCTTCACTGGCGTAACCCAGTGTTATACAGCTTTCATTTCTTCTCTGGCAAAATCCAGAGTCGTACAACTTCACCTTCCGGTAGTGGACCATATTTTTTCATTGACGTAACCTAGTGTTGTATAGCTTCACCTTAGGGTGATGGATTCGTCTTTGGGCGGCTACGATACCACTAATAAGTACACTATGATATATGTTTTACAAAGGTTTTATGGCATGCTAGAGTTTTCTGAAAAACCTACTATGGAGTATTATATTGTGTTCTCAAAACTGGGGGTTAGTATGTTCAAAGAAAAGCGGTTTACTTATTGTTATTATAAACTTTAGTCCACTCACTCTTTGTTTCGCGCCCCCTTTAGGACTTCGAAATAAGGTGTACAATCCCGGCATTAAGGCATCCTGTATTGGTAGCTTCAAATCCTCCTCTCTATGTAGGACCTCTTTCTTTGTAATCATACCTTTTTATAATATCCCTTCCATTGTATTCTTGATTAGTGGTATGCTCTGAACATGTTCATGCATTCCCATATTTTTAATATTTAACGTTACGTATTTCTATTTTTGTTTGTTCTTTTCAGCATAAATTGCATGCTTGTTTTACATGTTCATAGCATAAGCATGTTAGGATGGCTTTCGTCACCCTTAAATGTTAACCAGCACGTGTCCATCTTGGTGTCTTGATGACACCGGAATACGCATGTCACTAACTGGTAAGCTAGAGTCTTAAAAAATTAGGCACATTATGTCCCATCAATTTTATGTAAAAACTAAAAACTAGTTATTTGATGTTTGTTATCCTCGTATTGTCTTTCTCGTGTTCAATCATACTACGTCGAAAACAGACGCTTTCATACCACAACACCACAAAATATGCATGGAGACTAATGATCACTAGTTGCCAAACTGAGGAAAAAAATAGGGTAAATATAGATTTACTACCTTCATGTTTCGTGGTTTTTAACATTTAGTACATTAAGTTTTTTTTGTCTCAGAGTCATACCTATCCGTTAGTCAAATTGTTAAGTCTCCCGTTAAGTGATGACATGGCGCCCATGTGGACAATGACTAGCCTCCATGTGTCATTAAGGGGTCCACGTGGATTTATTTTTCTTTCTTTCTTTCTTCTCTTCAGAGGTGACGTGGATTTTTTTTTTTTCTCTCTCTTCTTCTTCTTCTTCCTTTCTTCTCTTCCTTTCTCCCCAGAATCCCCACCTCCCACCAGCCGATTTGCCTTTCTAGACCAACCCATTTTCGTCCTCGACCCTAAAAACGGGCAAGTCAACGTCCTCCAGAAGCTTGAAAGGCAGGACCTTGTTGTCCACCTCCACGTCGAACTCGTACGCCACCGAATGCCCCACCTACGTGTCCCTCAAATCGAACCCCGACACCTTCATATCCTCCACTTGAATTGATTTATGCGCAGTCTTTTTCTTTATGTTTACACCTTTGTTTATTTCCGGTTGTTGAATTGAATAAAATCAACGAGAATTAACGCATAAAAATAAACATGATGAAATCAAACAACTAGCTAGTTTGTGACATGCATTAATTTTTTTATGACTATAAAAATGATTTGATTATCAAGTTAAATTAGATTGTTGGAATCAAATTTACGCACATTCACGGACGGAAGCGAAATCCGGTCAGATTTGGCCATGATCTCTAGCGAGGGGAGAATGGAGTTGATTGGGATGTGTGGTTGAATTCGAATAGGATTGCCTACATAACTTTAGGGAAGAGAATCCACGGGTGTAGTTCTAAAAAAGAATGGTGTAAACCATCCTTGACAAATATTCTATGGTGGGCCGTTAAGAAGATGAGTTCTCCATGGATGTGTCTATTAGGCTAGACAGAATACGTGGAATACAGCTTCGACTATCTTCGTACGTAAAACTGAAAAGTTGGCTTTGTAGAAATTTTTGAAACTTTGATACAGCAATCTTGGGCACTTACCAAACATCAAATAACTAATAACTAATTTATAGTTTGTGCATAAAATTGATGGGACACAATGTTTGTCCAAATACATATGAGTAAAGGCTAATTTTTCAAAAGAGTCTAGGTTACCGGTTAGGCAGTTGCACCACAAACCTAATGTACCAAGGAAGACAAGAAAGATGCCAAAACTAGCTAAATGAACACTTCAAATTTGACAATATCTAGAAATTATAAGTAATTGACAATTAATGAGAAATCTCCATTCATTAATTCGTCATCACCGTGGATTAGCGCAAGAGAACTTTTATTTGAACTCATTTAACTTCTTTCTACATCCAACTTAAATTTTAAATATGACATGTCTTTATCATCCTATTGCATAATTATCATCATCTACATGATAAAATTAATTTTAAAAGTAAAATTTATCAACATACCCCCTCCCACCCTCAAAATAATCAAACACTAACCATCACTAATCTTTCTTCGACATTCTATTGTGACAAAAATCCTAAGACGCATTCATAGAAATAAAAACCAATTTGTTTTTTTACGTATGAATTGTGATTTTGAGGTTTTGGATCCTCCAACTTTTTATCGTCATCATGACTACCACCACCACCATATCTCCAACACTACTCATCACCTATAGGAAACCTACTTGTACTTGTACTACTACTACTGCCAAAACAACAAGCAACAGTTTATCAAGGTCAACGACAAGAAAAGGTGGAGGAGGATAAGAGAGTTGGCATATGCTTTCACTAGTACTGCTACCTTTTATATATGAGATCAAAACCCTACTTATTGTAAGAGTAGGGTTTCTCTGACAAAAGGGTGGCTCAAGGGGAATCAAGCGTGTCAGTCCGATAATTCGGTATTATTCCCAGTACTACAATCTGGCCTACAAAATATGCATGCATTTGTTAAACTAGTTAGGGCTTAGTTAATTTAGTTTGACTCTCATAGGCTCATGGCACTGTGTTTAATTAGATTAATAGATTTAATTAACATGGATCTTCATGAGACTAATCCGGGTAGCTTCTAATGTAAAAATAATGAGTGTAAAGATAAATTTGCATATTGAATTGAATTTGCAATGGTAGTTTAGGTAATAAATTTGAATTTAAAGAGATATTGATAGTTTAATTAAAAATGATATAAATGTAGAGAGTAAGTTAGGTGTAGAGATAGGCGGTAGGGGTTCAAATAAAATTCCCCTTAGCACAGTATGAGCTAAACCACGTTAAATGAGTTCAACACAACCTTTCGAGGCGGAAGATCCAAAAGGACGAGTAGCAACCCAATTTAAAAACAGGTGTCAGGTTTTTTTTATTTTTTATATTTTTTGTCAAACGATAGATTTTGTTAGATTAACCATCGACGGAATTTGAACCCATACCGTCATGCGAAAGCTCAACTCCTTTCCACCAATAAAGAATCACTTGCCCAAAATAAAAGAGAAGGGAGGGTGGATATGTGGTCTTAGGTTGCTGAAATGAAACCAAACTAGTGGGATACGGATCCAGTCATAAGCATTGACCACATGTTTGACATGTGGCTATGTTACTATAACTTGTATCGAATTTGTTTCTCCGTCTCGACTTTTAAAGATAACATAAACCAACCATACTAACTTGGTATCGAAATTGTTACCCCCAAGTCAAACCTAAGATTTTCTAATCCCAAGTGAAGAGGAATGCCGCTAGGTCAAATCCTTAACACCTATTTGTTTATATTGGAAGAAATATTGAGTACCTAAAGAGGACGATCCACCCAGAAGACTCATCCCTACTGGAATAAACAGATGTAACTATGGCCTGAAATTTCAAATCAGCAATAACTTCATTTCACGCAATCAGCACATAAAAACTGCCCCAAAGAGCAAGATCTCGCAATCGGTAAAATATATATTTCATTTCGAATAAGTGCGCAATTCTTATTTCAAATGCAAAAGACCAGTAACTGAAAGGAATTCTGTGAATAAAAACGCCTGCGGAAGTTTAATTCATCTTCCACCAAACCAGAAACAATAACAGCTCAAGTTATGAGTCCAGGACAAAACATTTCACTACCCTGAGGTTGATTTGACAATGAAATTCTGGCGACTAATGGGGTTCATCACAACCGGAGGTCCTGCAGTGCGTGGCCAAGCCTGGAACTTATTGTCAGTTTCTTCCCACCATTTTTTGTTTGAAACAGTACCAGGAGTACTACCTGGTTATAACTTAATTGTTAAATTGCACCGAAGTTTATTACAGTAAATGATTTCATCAAGCAGTTTTATATCAGAAGTACCTCCAAATATCTTTTTGTCAGATATAGTAGTGTCAAAAACATAAGCAAGCCCAAAGGTTCCCACAATAGATCCTACGATGTACTTTGCTGCCATTTTTCAACTGCAATAATAAAGAACATAACAATAAGGAAAATGGAGAAATGCCGAACGAGAAGTGCCAGTTATCTGATTATGAACAGTTTCGGAATGAGTAAACTCAATAAAACAGAAGTGTACAAGAAAAAAGGAAGTGATTAGAGGTTCTACACTAGTCGCCTATAGCCTTTAACATACACAAGCACAACATTAGAAGGAGTAGCATCACTTACAATTTTACAATTTTTAATAAGTTATGAATCTGCGATGATCGTTCAAACCAAGCTTCTGAGAATATTACCATAAATAAGAAAAATACTGATGACTAAAAGATTACAAATTTGAGTTAAGATAACAGTTTTGACAAGTCCTAATTTGAAATTATGCACGCGAACTTCAATGGGTTCAAATCAGCTAAAGCACTCTTCATAAATAAACCTATAGTTCAAATTTTCAAGAGACAAAGAAATGTGTGAATCTCATTCAAGACACCCTAGAACCTGGTTTGAACTTGTTTGCATAAGATAAGGGTGATTTACAAGAAAATAATCCAAGAGATCTTTAGTCCTACAAACATGCCTTCTGCTTGGGGGAGAGGGAGAGAGAGGTGGTGGCTAGGGTGGGTGTGGTTATGGCAGCGCAGGGCAGGGAGGAAACCACAAATTCACAGCCAAGAGATTCACACATTCATGGCCAAGACCCATGCAGATCCAAGTTGTTCAACCCCAAATTCGAAACTGACCCCAAAAGTAATCCAAATACAAGACCTGTTTTTTCGAAAAGATATTTACATTTAATCATTGAATTTATTGTTTTATTGCACACATGGCACCCACATGGCATATATTTCAGAAAAACAGTGGTTCGTTCATGCCGCATCACCAGCTTTGACAGACTAGTTGACATGAAAGTAGAGGGAAATACGGGTCAATGTGACTTCCGTGGGGGAGGGAGTGGGACTTGACCCTAGTTTCAGAGGGGCACTAGAGTAATTAATCCTAAAACCAATAAGTTATAACTCTAGAGTCCCCATCATCCTCACCACAACAAGCAGATCGACACGGAACAGAGCAAATTGACAACCAAATAGAAATTACAGTTGGAAAATATTGATACGGAAAAACAGGGGCATGTTTGCACAGCGCATATAGACCAGCTAAATAAAAGATCATTCAAAAATTTTGAACCAAATATATAGCAACTCAGTGTTTTGTGATTAGTATCGATCAACATAAACATGAGAGCATTGTTCAAAGTCAAACCTAATGCGCTAACTCGGCAAGGCTACAAAGAACCTAGACCAAGTCACGATGACACGAAATATAGCAAGTGATTGAACATAAGCGCGACCATATGAAGGAGCGAAAAAAGTGGCGGATACTCACATAACCAATTCTTTAAACAGTTAGACAGGGCTGTTTGTAATCATCCTATGCAAAACCTAACATCTTTCAATGTATAAAGTTTCTAATTTACTCAATCAATATATGAAAATCTGCTAAAACTAAATACAGCAACGTCAAACTAGCGTCCAATATTTCAGTCTATGATCCCATGTTTTTCTCAAAATTCGAACATAATGGAAACATAAAATAATTAAAATTTATTCATCTGGGAAACTATAAATTTACGAATCTGAGAAAATCCAAAGGAAAATAAAGGAAACCCTAGATCTATCGGCAGATATATAATTAAGAGCCAGACGTTGTTCTATTCGGAATCGAAAGTGATGAAACGGACAACTCACGGATGAACTGGAACGGGAGCGAGGTTAGACGAGGAGGAGCTTCAGCGTGATCGGTAATCGAGGCACAAATTCTGCGCACAGTTAATGGTGTCTGCTCATATTACGAAATGGACTACACGGGTCGTGCTCTGGACTGACCCATGGCTAACGGGCTGGCCTGATGTAAACCCATAACTCTTCTCACCCATTTTATATGGTAAGTATTTTTATACCTTTATCAAATGTTTTATATTACACGATTTAGTTGTATTTCTCTTCATGTTAGACCCGGCAATTTCTGACATGACACAAAAATAACGGGTTTCGAATCAATACGATAACTAATCAGATCATTATCGGATAACTCGTTAAGAATCCGTTAATAACGGGATCTTAACGGATATACACGCGAGTAACACGTGAGTAACCCGTTTCGACCCGTTAAGAAAAAAATTATTTTGATAATTTTAAAGTTTAATTACTAAAAGATTTATTATAAAATACAATAGCCATATTAATATATACAATATATTCTATATTAAATATATAGTTTTGTATTATTATTCTATATAAGTTTAAAAAATAAAAATAAAAGTTTTTGTCATTATTTATTTTTATTATGAGAGTTCCTTGTTATCATTACTAGGATAAATTTTACTTAACATGTTGTTGTCCAAAATTAAAATAAACTAGTATAGTATTTGTATAGTCAAGAATTAAGAAGACATACATATAACTATGAAAAATGTGAAAGAATAAGTAAACACTCGTGATTCATCATTATTCCTCCATGAGTAGATAATGGTTACACTTACATTATCGTTTAAATTTTTAAAATCCTCCAAACCCTCATGAATAATGATTTTTATTTGAGGGAAAAATTAATAAAATTAATAATAATTATTGTAGAAGTGTAAAAAATGTAAAAAAAAAATATACAATCACTAATAGTAATAAGCTTTACAACTTTCACGAAGGGGTCAGCTTCGAAATCCAACACTATAATCCATAAACCTTAAATTTATATTTAACCGTTGATTGTCATTTACGCTTTATTGTTCTTACTGAATTTCATTTTTTAAATTTACTTTTTTGAAAACATGATCATCTGGCGGATGTAAGAAGATGAACGGCTTAGATCTTTGATATCACGTTTCGATATTTACTGTTAACTGAAATATGAGTCGATGTCATATAGTTTGTAGAAACTTTATAAACATCAAGCAATATTTTCACTAACCGTAAAACTCTGAATATAATATCAACGATTCAAACCGTTCATCTTCCTATATCCTCTAATAGATCATGTTTTCAAAAAAACAAAATCTGAAAAAACAAAATTTGATAAGAACAATGAAGCGTAAATGTAAACAAAAATCAACGGTTAAATTTTGATCTATTATTTATATGATTAATGACACACCCCGACCAAAATCAGGGCATGTTGGCCGTCACGTGAGGGTGACGTAACCATGTGCACAGTGCGGAAACTAAGAATAATAATAAAGTATGAACAAATAAAAACCAAGCTATACACTGAGTGGATAACATACATGTGCAAGCGTAAGTGTGAAAAATAATATTTAGAGCATAGAAGACCTAGTGCAGTCCAGGGGAACAAACACTAACTAAACACATCCAGGGGTGGTCCTACACTGGTGATAATCTGTCAAATATGTCGTGAATCTCTCGTGAGCCACCAAAAGAGCAATCCAAACTAGAACCTGGAAGGGCGCAAAACAGAAAGTGTGAGTAGGCAAAAACAAAGCTTTTCAAAATCATTTCATTATCAAAAGTTCTAACCCCTCGCCGTAAAACCTAGTATAGTTTCCCAGAAAATAGAATATACACATATATAGAAAACATGCTCAGAAATATGCCATGTTGAATGTCTCTACATAAAATGTAAGTACTCAGGTAACGTCATTCAATGTCATGTAATATGTCAGCCGGAGTCACCTAATGTGACCTGTACGGCTGAATCTAGAGCTCAAATCTCCAACTCACTAACTATACCTGCACAGAGTTGGAACCACCTAAAGTGGTCTGTACAACAGGATTGGGTGTAAATAAATACGCTCAAGTGCTACGATCACGTGAAGACTGGGCGAATAATCACGGGTCACCTACGAGTCGAAACCACCTATAGTGGTTGATGTGATAAATAATAGCACTCAAATTAAACCCTCTTTTTGACAATTGTAGTATAAATATAAGTAGGGATCGTTCTAGGCCAGGGATTAGGAGGGATTGCTAATCTAATGAAAACTGATTCAAAGACACAAAAATATGCTTAAAAACACTTGAACAAACTCAAAGACTCTTAACTAAACTTATATGACTCAAAACAAACTTGAAAGACTCAAAACAATAAAAAAACTCAATTTAAACTCTAGGACTCAATTTGGACAAAAATAGAATTGGTTTTGACTCAAAATACTCAAAAACACACTTTAGGACAGATTTGAAACAAGTAAGTAAAGGGGATTGGGTTTTGGACAAATTTAGAATGAAAACAAGTAACTTAAAAGACTTGAGTAAACTTTGGACGAATTTGGGAAAAACAAAGGATAGGTAGATAGCTAGAGGATACTTTTCCACACATGATACATTCAAACACAAATTGATTTCCAGTTGTTTTTCCGATAAACCATAAACCTCAACACCCCAGATTAACCGTGACATCACTAATTAACCCTCAGATTTTCCTTTAGTTATTGGATTGGATGACATCATACGACAACCCAAAGCATTCTTCAAAAGTTCCCTACATGACATCATAATGGAGATACAATCAAAGATCATTACGTTCAATGAAAATCATAAGTATTGACAAAGCACTTGTAACTATGACATCATGATACTCATGCTAGGAGTTTACTTAACATGATTGTGAAAACAACCTTAACTACTTGTGAATATAAGTTTGTGACGATTATGTGAAACTCCCTTATATTCTAGCACCAAATTCAAGCATGCAAATCAAGTAGGCCTCCCTAATCAACATACAAGAATAAGTTATCCATCAAACAGTTAAGTAAATTGCATTCACAATTTATGAAATCACAACTGGACTTAATCAATTCATATTATAAATATAATCATGGTTTCAAAGCCTCCCTTAGCTAAAACGAGTGTAGCCTCTCATGTTCACAACAAAACAAAGAAATCTTGAATTAAACATTAAAAACAAAAGATAGATTACACCTAAAAACGTTCCAACACTCCAACTTAAATGCACAAACGTCCAAGGCTTCTTCTTATCTTCTTCTTCCTTGCAAAGTTGTGGCACAAGAGTCTAGGGGTGATTTTGGATGGATTTCTGGGTTGTGAATGGATTTAGGTTGGTAGGGTGGTGGGCAAAGGTTGGAAATGGTGTATGGGTGGTTGGGTGAAGGTATGGAAGTGTATGAATGGTGGAAGCAAGGTTGAAGGCTGCGGCAAAGGCTTAAGTGTTTGTGAAAGATGGCAGATTGTATGGATGAATGATTAGGGAAGAATAAGGGTGCGGCTTTGGTATTTATTTGAGAGCAAGAATCCTAAGGTTTATTACATAGTTTAGGAAAGGATTGGACCCCCAAATCCCTAAGGAAAAGGAAATATAAAATCAGAAATCAAAGGGAAAGGGG